TTCCTAAACACTCATTTTTATTAAACACTTGCTAGTGCTAAATATAATTCGGGACTAAAATGGTGTTTATCAAACTTAATAAATATTGTGGAATTTTATATTCAAATTATTCTTTCGTCCATTGAAAAAACTATTTCTTAGAGGAAAAGTCTGTGTACAACTTTTTTGTTTAATACAGTAAAGTAAGCAGTTTTATTTAGGTCCTAAGGTTTTTAGTAGAGTTGATCTTGCCGAGGTACCATGGAATCTTATTGAAGCACAAATTATAAATAATCCATCAGTGAAGGGGGCATGTTTTCCCCTTGGCGCATTTTGTATTCATTGTATTTATTCAGAAATTTCTGCTGGATGCTAACAACCAGCTTAACTTTCAACATACACGCTTTTCTCTGCCTTCTTCCGACCGCAAAATTCACTAAAAAATCTTAAATATCCAAAGCGAAAATGCTTTGTTAAATTTTAAACTATGTCAACAAAAAAGATAAGTAAAACTGTTGTGTTTTGATTTCGACAGTTGTGTACTTTTGGATTTGGTGTTTTCGATATTGCATCTAATGCGAACAACTTAAATATAAAATAATAAAAATCAATGAAATATAATTTATTCAAGCAGGTCATCCAAAAGTATATAGCTAGGTATTTTTATTATTGGGTCACAAAATGATAGTTTAGTCGAGTATAAAGCTTATTTTCCATAAACTTTGCAATTATCTCAAATTAACGTGACATTTACACTAAACAAATTATTTATTTTTAATATAAATTCAAGCAATTTAAAAGGTACTAATAAATTTTATTTAATTTTGCTCATAAAAATTTTGCCCCATTCTTAAAATTATATAATTTATTTTGGTAACCGAGGAAAAAATAGAACATTAAGACATTTAAAAGTACCTACATCTAATGTAACATAATGAAGTTTTAAGTTAAAATTTCTGACAGAAACCAATTGTTACTCGAAATTAAATACGTAATTGTAAAAACAAAACTTCTTTGTTAAAACAGTCTTACTTCAGATTTTCATTATAAAATTGCTTAAAGCTCTGTAAAACAAACTTAGGAAAACCAACTGTAGATGTAATATGCTTCCATAAAACCGAGAAATATTTTATTATTTTTTAATATTCCCGCCAAGCTGGGGAAAAAATAAATAAGTGAACCTAATTGCTTATAGTTATTTATTTACTTCAAGAATTCAGTAGACTGTGGCATTTTTTATTTATATCATATAAAACGAATTGAAAGACAAATATGTATAACGGATAAATTCGTTTTCTTGGGAAATGACCTGAATATATTTTATTTACATACGACGCAAATAAATCTATATGCAAACTTATACACAACCTTTGAAAACTTACTTAATTAAATGTTGATGATGTTGCTAGTAAAATCATTAATTTTCATTTAAAACGCCAAAGGCTATATATATAATTCACTTTATTCGTTCAATACAATATCTGCTCATGGCTGCTTGCATTTACCTAAGGATAAATTAGATTACAGCTCAACTAACAAAATATAAAGTAGTCACTTAACCTCAAACAAATAAAATCTTATTTTATTTGCTAAATTGAAAGGTTCCTCTACCAAGAATTTTAATGATATACTTTTAGCTGAAGGAATGCTATCCGAGAGTATATAATCTAAATTGAAAATAGCTTCGCCACGGGGAGCTGCTAGTCCATTATTACAACATTTACCCATTAAAGTACAATCAAATTAATATAAGTTTTCAATCAAACATTACAAAACAAAACCCCAACAATTTATGTTTCAACAGGAACTTTGAAATAGCCAACTGAATGGCTTGAGCGGCTTAGGGGTAGGAACGGACTAATACACAATAGGACAAACACAAATAAAAATCCATACCCCTGGTGGGATTCGAACCCACGACCTCTCAGCTTGTAGTCAGCAGCACTAACCACTAGTCCACCGTCGGCGGTCATAAGTACCTATTGCTATTGTCAAAGTATGTATAATTTTTGGAACCAAAAGACAATGTGGTTAAAGTTCTTTAATTGTATTTAATACACAACCTTTCGATCATTACAGTCGTAATTGTCTGGGATGTCTTATGGTAATGGATATCCGATGGATAAGTCTTATTGTTGTGGATGGGGTAAATAATGGTATAAAAAATGTCAATAAATGATTGAACACGTGTATGAGAAAAAGGCGAAGTGAATGGAGGATGGAAACAATTGAGAAGTCGTCTTGTGTCGTTCGGTTAAAGTTGGTATGATGGAAGTTGGCTATTTGAAGAGGGGCCACGTCTTTTTGACGCACGTGATTCCATTTTCGTGCTTGAACGGTCAATTTTTAATTTTTTGCTATCCAGATATAACGTGATATAAACAACAGCAGCTGCAGAATAATTAATAGATATAACTTTGGAGGGTTTCAATTAAGAAGAAAGAAAATTAGTCGACTGTAGTAATTTAATACTTGTTTTCATAGAAAAGTTTGAGAATTATTTTGTTGTTTTGTTATATAATATGGCATTGTGGCGACGAGCAGACCTTTCTATAGTTAATGAAGAATGATATCGGCTGTTACGTATCGAACAGATTGATAGTCAATTAAATGTCTTTACATTGTTCATTTATGTTAAGTCCTAGCCAGTAGCTAGAAAGAACATAAATAGTTCTATACTTAGTATAGTATACTTACACTTTTATAATTACTTACTAATGATTGCTAATTGAATTGCTCGAAGGCTGAGCTCGATGTCATTAAAAATCAATTCGTAGAGTTTACGGGAGTAATTTTTTTCGCCGAGCAAACTTAGTTGGACAGTAAAGTTGTTTGCAAACTATAAACTTAAGAAACTATTGATCCAGGTGATTTCCGAAAGGTCAAAACAGCGATTCACATTGTTAAAAATAATTATTCAGATGTTGGTTGTTTGCTGACTTTGCCTATATTTTACCGATTCGGCTGCGAGTTAAAGTCTGGTGTTTTTTTTGCTCAAAAGATTGTAATGATGATTTATTGTTGTTGGCGAAACTTCATTCATAATGAAAATTAGTGAAATTAAACCTGGTCGTGATCTATAATTCGAATTATATAACACTGTAAATTTGTTTTATTACTCTTAGCATCTTAGCAAAAGTTTTCAGACCAGCCATTTCATCAAAATATAACAATAAATCATTCCATTGTATTTTCCACAAAGTAATTAAATCTTCTTTATCGTTACGTTACGAACTCTATTCTTTTTTCAGAAAAATCAGTTTAAAATATATATGTATATATAAAGTTATATCAAAAGGTATTAAGGGTGGCTAGCCCTGTATAGAATTGCCATTACTTAGTTCAAATTTTCCACCAAATAAGATAATAAATTTTGCCTTAAAAATTTTTAAAGCCCTTTATCATTCTATAATATATTCGAAACGTTTCATTTAAGTTAGGTATGCTGAAGGTTTTTGTAAGCAAAATCGATCACTCAAGCATTGCAAATTATTAAAAATGCATTAAGTGTAATTTATTCAGTAAGCTATCTGTTCCTTTTTATATAACCAAGATTAAAGACCAATTTTTTAAATTATCGTCTAACCACAGAATTTGGTCTTGAATCTTAACAACCTATGAATAACACTTTTCGTTGGATCGCACAGTCATTCGTCTATCTAGACTAAATTTATATGCTTTTTAATGAAGATTTTAAATTTTAATAATTAAAACCATGCCTTTCGCTAATTTAATTGAGCAGTGTAAAAAGTCGCACTATTTAAAAAAATATATAAAGTCTAGCTAGTTGAGTCACTGTGGATTGGCTCTTATCTAAGAGATTAAAAACGACGCCAATATCATTTTCAATTCATTTTTCAATTATGTTACTTATGCTACCACTAGACTTTGATAACGCTTTAACTGATTTCATTTTAAAATAAAAAATATTTTACAAGATTTCATTTCCTTAGCCGGCAAAATTCACTCCCGTGCATTATAAGAGTTCTTGGTTTAATCTGAAAGGATTTTCAGCCCAAACCAGCCACTTTATTACTGCCAAAGGTTAATTGTATAGTAAATATTTAAAATTTTAATTAGAAAATCGAGTCCGACGTCTTAATATTATTATGTAACAAGTTCATAAACGCCATTTTAGTTACGAGTTTTATTAGGCACGAGCGAATTTTACCAGTAATGGGTCAAGAAAGTTTCTTAAAGAAACTAAGAAAATTGAATGTTTAGCCCGGTTGGGCTAATTTTAGTATCTGTGATACAATTTGCCGTGCATTCTTGGTTGCATAGTATGTACCGATTGCGGCAAAGGCAGATGTTCTTACATCTCGCCTCTGTTGGCTTACCAACCGAGCATATAATCTCAGGGAGTCCTTTGTTTTGGGTGTGTTCCACTACACCAAGTTGCCCGACATTGATGAGACCCAATATAGGTGAAACGCACTCAAAACAAAAAACTTTGGATATTATTTTTAAACGTTATAAAATAATTAAACATTTGTATCAACTCTATAACTAAAACTTTACATAACATTTGTATTAGAATTTTATTTTCAGAATTTAAAAAAATAAATTTAACAAGAAATAATTATGCATGCAAAAAATTATTATAATTGTCTATGAAATTATATTTGTACAAGCGAAAGATACTGGGAAAAGGTTCAAAGGAGAGGTGAAATTTAGATCATTAATTTGAAATAAAGTAGATTAGGACAACAAAAGCGGCACAACATAATCTGTTTATCTTGATTACGGTTGGTCACGTAGTGAACTATTGTTGAAAAAGTAAAAAATTAATAAAACAATGTGAGATGGATGATGATTTTAATGGGGTTTGATAAAAAGTTGTAGAAAAGCATCGTGTTGTTTAGCGAAAAGATTTATACATTATAGAGAACAATCGGATGTGTATTCAGACGAGTTTAAGGATAAAGAACATGTAATCGGATTAGATTCAGTTATCCTGAACACCCATTTTCGACTTTAAATCTATCGACGAGATTTTTATATATCAATAATTGTTTCAGGCCCAAACACAAAAACGACCATAGCAATTTTGAATTGCCTTTTGGCTCGCCAACTTTGTTTTGAAGATGCAGCCTGTTCAGCCATTCTTGAAATTATACCAAGAGTCTGTGGACCGGAATTAGGTAAGTCACTTTTGCATATTTTTAAGGTAATTCTTTCGCTGTTTCTTAGACGAGGCTTAAAATAAATATAAATCCAAAGTTTTCAACTCTCCTGCTTTCAAACAAAGCACTTTATTGCACAACAATAGCATAATTACTAAAATGTGGTCAAACTTTTCCTCCATTTTTTTACCTCGTCATCTTATAAATGACAATACAAATTTTATTTGTGCATGATTGTATACATTTTTAAATATTAGTGAATTTTTTAAAGGAGATAATATAAATCAAGTTTTAGATTTTAGTTTTTTCTTTTGAAAATATCTCGAACGAATGTCAATAAAACCTCTTTATACGAACACATGTAATGTGCATATTTTTATGAAGTTTTTACCGCCTGAGAAAAAATTAAATTTGATCGATACTCCCGCCGAATTCTTTCTGATTTATTCGATTTTCAATCATATTTTACATCAACGTCAAATCTTGATTTGTCAATATCAATTTTGCTGATGTACGAGTATTAGAAGCTTTAAAAAATAGTTCTTACATCGGCCACGAAAAAAAGTAAACTCGAATAACCTTGTCCATAAAACTCTGAACATAATTGTTGGTTATTAATTTTTTTATGTGCTTTACGGCACGCCACCATTTTTCATTTGTAATCATAGATTCGAGCGGCCCTAAGTTGTGCGATTTTTTAAATAATTACCTTTTATTTCTCGAGGAAGTTATAAAACCCAAAGAGACTAAAACTTTTTATTAACGCTCTTATCGCAAATAATCTTTCTTTGTTTCTTCAATGATATTTTTATTACTGCCTCGGCCAATATCTTTAAATCACCAGGCATATGCAAATTGTAGGTGAGTGAATCGTAAATCCAGCTTAATCAGTGTATGATTAAGAGAGTATCAATTACATCTTCAAGGCATAGGCAAAAATGTAAGGATATTGATTTTGCAGCAAATTTACACTCAAGTAGCGGAGCGATAAACTCATTTTTACTCTAATTATAAATATAAAACATACAACGTACAGAGGATACTTGAAAAATAAGAAATAAGCGAAATTGAAGCCTCCCTTTATTATATTATATCAATTATCCTTACAAAAAAAATTCCTTTCGTTTATTTTTTGCATTTAGAAATTAAAAATTTTAGATAATAAATACAGCGTAAGTTGGCGAAGCTCGACGCATGTGTGATACTTGTATACTGCATTCCAGCGTCGTGAAATAAACAAAATAGTTTTAAATTATTAAAAAAATATATTTATCCGAAATCGGCAGTAAAGTAGTCAACAATCGGCAGTAAAGTAAAAAAAATCGGGAGTAAAGTAAAAGAAAATTAATACGAATATTGTATGTAACCCATTATACATTTTAAGATGTGTCTACTGCTCCTCAGCAGCAACTAATTAATATTTAAAAAAAGCACCGTTGCGGAGGTCGAATCGATTTTGACATTAACTGTCAAACCAATGACTGTGATACCAACAATCTAAAGTAAAATTCGACCAAATTAAATTTAAGGTATAAGGTATAATAGGTGCTTTTTTTAAAATATAATGATTGGGAATTAGAGAGTGATATTTTTTGCAACCAGATTGGCCGTTTGTAAGTCGAGATATTACCTAAATTGTACCTTTGTAAAACAAATAAAAAAACGATTAGTTTACATTTTTTTCTTTAAAAAGATTTTTGTCCATATTTTAGATACGCTTCATGAAAAGTATCTAAAGGTTGTTTTTAGTGTTTATTGGGGAAAAAAGTTGTTATGCCCTTGTTAAATGAAGTTGCGATGAGATAGTTGAGAGTAAATAAAATAAATTTGAAATTTGTGTTGAAGCAAATAAAATGGAAAAAGTTTCGACGTAATTGACGTAAGCAACTGTCCAGAAAATATCTAAATTTTCTTATGTTGCTTCTTGAACTCCAATGTAGCTTTCCTTGAGTTGCATCATGCATTTTAACTTCGTAAACTAACGTACAAACTGTCTTAAGATAAATTTAAAGAATTGAGACGACTGACAAATTTAATTTAATTAAAAAGGTTTAGCATTTAGCGTTTAGAGGTGAAATTTGTGTGCGACTAGTGTAGTTTTTGGGCTGAACGGTGCAATTTACAAAGATTTAGAGCAGCAAATGTAAGGATTTTAAAGGAATCGATTTTGGTAATATATCGCATTATATAGGAAATGTAAGGTTTTTCTCTGATATCTTTATCTCGATATCCGAAACGAAGTTTTATACATACACAACAACAAATAACCGAAATATTATTTTGGAACTGTAAGTGATTTACCTACAGCGCATTCGCCATTATATTTTTTCCAATTGGAAATTCGGTCATTTTTATTACGAAGTAGCATGTTCAGTGGCGATTTTGCATAACTTAAGTAATAAAGTGCTTTAAATATATTGTATATTTTTTAAATCACTCTGCATGCAAACGTAATTTAATTTATTCGCGTTGAAATTAAGGCCACTACACGTAAAAAATTTAATGTGATCAATATTTGCGCCGGCATATGAATTTCAACGAAAAAGTGGTGATCTTCGTTTAACATTTCGAATGGTTTTAGGTCGACCAAACACAGAATTTTAAGTTTGAATTAAATAAATGAAGGCAAAGGATTTTATTTAAAGAAACAGAAAACACGCTGGCAATAATATTTGGTCTCTTACTTAAAAGGCATTGACAATTTTCCACTCTAATGCACTATAAAGTATCTCGCCATCGCCACACCTTTAGTATCGGTGTCTTTCACAAACGTATTAAGCAGCAGAAAAATTAATTAAATTTACTTGCCGATGTGAATTATTTTAAGCATAAAGCACAAGCGAGTTTATTTATAAAATGAAATCAAGAAGCGTTAAAAAATAATTAATTGGTTGGTGTCATAACCACGCCGGTTTAAAAAATATCGTCCCTGTTTTATTTCAAAGATCATCAAAGGCGCTTATGGCGCAAAACTCTTTATTCTGATAAAGCTTAATTACATTTTACCACAATCTTTTAGTCTAAAGAAGTTAATTATCGATTACAGCTTTTGCTAAAAATTTACTAAACCAGGGTCAATTTATTTAGCAACCAACAATTTCAACAAAGTCAAAGAGCACTGCCACTGCAAAAAGGACTATACAGGGTGCTTATAATCCAGTTAAGTCTATTTTTCTAAAATATTTTGTTATTTCAAAATTTTACATGAAAATCTGAGTAAAATTACTACACTAATCGATGACACATCGTAGTCTTCAAAACAATGTTATCCATATATTTTGTCGTGGCGTATGTTTGATTCAAAAGTTATTTATTGTTATGTATCAAGGGACATTTTGTTCACTACATACATAGAAAGCGCATTAACTTCTTCAGATATTCCCAGGTAAAATATTGGAATATACATTTTATTCCAAAATAAATATATTTCTGACCGCTTGATTTACTCCTACTATTTGAAAAATATAATTCAAATTTCATTCCAGTCGACTCAGTATTTACTGAAATCGAATATTGAAAAATAAATGGACGCTAATAGAAAAACAAAAGTGACCTTTCCAGATATGTTGCTGTATCAAATAGAAGTCTACAGTTATTATATTAGGTAGGGACGAAAGTTCTTATTCTCACTACAATATAAAATCAAACCGCTGATAAATCGATATAAAGGTCCAAATAAGACGTACAAAAACTTTATATGCTCGCTTATAAATGTTAAAATTTACAATTATAAAAGTCTTTATTATTTATTATAAAGTTTTATCATTATTTTCCAGAATATTCTAAAAAATAAAAAATATGTACGCTGGCTAGAAGCGAACCACAGACCTCTCGGTTCGTAGGCGGGTGCTATGATTATTACGCTATAAAGCGCCCGTTACATAATGTTTTATTTTTTATGCCTAAAAATTAATTAAAAATAAATATACAAAATATCAATAAACATTTAAAAACTGACGACCACACAAAAGTTCATAATAATTGTACCATAGTGTGATTGAACAACAAACAGGACTATTTTTAGTTTTGTGTTAAATTGTATACAATTATTCCAGCCGCAATTTAACCCAAACTACAAATGGTCGTGGCATTATTGTGCGAAATTACGTTTTTAGACAGTAAATTATTATGATCAAAACAATATTTCTCTAATTTGTTACTAATTTCTTTTCATAATTTTCCATCAACCGTGATATATTACAATGTGCAGTTGGTTACTGTTTTCTCAGAACAAAGCCATAACTCTAATTCAAGTCCTTTGATTTGTTCCAACTGCCTTCAAAATTTCACTCACAACCTTCAAATGCACTTATATTTTTATACAAAATAAACAATAAAACAATTACATTTATTATGTGCCATGAAATGTTACATTACAAGAAAATATTCTGCCAGGGTAATATGATTAATAAAACAAATTTTTGTGGATCCCTTAATGCACTTTCGAAGCACGAAACTTTCTACTGTGAATTTTTCGCATTTAGACTTTTATTTTGTAAATCTAACTACATATATTTCGGTTTCGTGGCTTGGCCGTCGATGTATAGTTTCTCCTGTGAAAAAATAGACTTTCTTCGGTGAACTTTTTGGGTTGAGACTGTTATTTTGTAAATCTATATATCTAACTACGGTATATCCCTAGCGGTCGATTTACTTTACTATCAATCGACGTTGTTTTCGAAACTGTAACAAAAATTTTCAAAAAAAGCTTAAGAACGCAATGGCTTGGTTAAAATCTTCGTGATCTGCCTAGGAACTGCAGCTTTTGAAATTTTACCAACATAAAGTTCATATTTGTTTAAAGTTTGAATTAATACATTAAATAATAGTATATTTACAGAATTATTAGGCTATTTTTAAAGTAGGCTGTTTTATTTACTTATATAGTAATTTAAAAAAATGTATTCTAGTGAGTTTGTAAAATTAATAATATACTATTGTTTCCATATAGGTTATATTACAACTTCACTTGTGCTGCTAAAGAAACTAATTAGATTGTTAGTGGGGGAAACTGGCAG